TCAGTTTGTGCCCATTGCCCCTTGTCCTGTCGCTGGGCACCACTGAAAAGAGCTTGGCCCCATCCTCCTGACACCCACTCTTCAGATATTTGTAAGCATTTATAAGGTCCCCTCTCAGTCTTCTTCAGGCTGAACAAGCCCAGCTCCCTCAGCCTCTCCTCATAGGACAGATGCTCCAGTCCCCTCACCATCCTCGTAGCCCTCCGCTGGACTCTCTCCAGTAGCTCCTCATCTTTCTTGAACTGGGGAGCCCAGAACTGGACAGAGCACTCCAGATGGGGCCTCACTAGGGCAGTGTAGAGGGGAAGGAGAACCTCCCTCGACCTGCTGGCCACGCTCCTCCTAATGCACCCGAGGATCCCATTGGCCTTCTTGGCAGCCAGGGCACACTGCTGGCTCATGGTTAACCTGTTGTCCACCAGGACACCCAGGTCCCTCTCCGCAGAGCTGCTCTCCAGCAGGTCCACCCAGACCCTGTACTGGTGCATGGGGTTGTTCCTCCCCAGGTGCAGGACCCTGCATTTTCCTTTGTTGAACCTCATCAGATTCCTCTCTGCCCAACTTTCCAGCCTGTCCAGGTCACGCTGAATGGCAGCACAGCCTTCTGGTGTATCTACCACACCTCCCAGTTTGGTGTCATCTTCTTTCTTTTGTCGTCTTCTTTCGGGAAGACGGAGGCAGTGTGTCCTCTCCCACCTGCGAAGGGACCCAAAAGGTGCAGTTTGAAATCGTTACACCTTTCACTGCTTTGCGAAAGTTCGCTGCAGTACACGATGGTCCGTGCTCTCTTTGCAGATACCAGTGCCAAATTGCAAAACCTCACTGCGTTTGCCCGTGCAGCTGCTGCAGGTTGGCTGTTTTGGGAGACCACGAATGCACAAGAGTTGCTCTGCAGCAAGCGGTGATTATAACGAGCACAGGATTTGATTACTTGGAGGATTTGATTACTGCACAGGAAGGATAAGATGAATCAGCTGAAGATGTAAAGTTAAGGTTTGTCATAGAAGTTATATTAAATCTCCATGTGGATACCCTCTCACGGGTGAGGTGGCCCTAGCTCTATGGCATGCTTTTGTTCTGTGCCGTTCACAGGTCGGAGCGCTTAGATCCTTCCCTCTGCGGCTCTGAAAGCACGCCAGCAAGAGCGTAGGCCCTCTGTTCGGAGCACGGCAGGAGAGCGGGCCGATGTCCGGCGTTGCCCAGGTCGTGTCGTTGCGGCTGCATACACAGGCCCTAACAGAGATGGCGGGAGGCTTTACACCCTCGGCCTGGTGGTCGCGTCCGAGTTGGTTGGTTACACCACGCAGAGGCCTCACCCTGCAGCAGCAGGGCTGGGAGGCGCAAACCACTTCAGCACAGTTCGGGAAAGCATTGTTACCAAGGAAAAGCAGAACGGCAGTCCATCTGTTGAGGCCGAAAGCTAAGCACTCAGAAATTAGAAGCCAAAGTCCGTAGTGAATGAAGTTGCTGCAATGTTGATCACTGCAGAAGCTGTAGACGGATGCAAAGAAGGGGCGGGTGTGGAGGGCACTCAGTCTGGCAATAAAATTCCGCGGTAAAGACAGCAGCTTTTCCCTGCTTTTGCATCATAGTTTTTACATAGTACTAATCCTGCCCCTCACTCTTTGCAGGTGGATACTAATTATGAGTTTCTAATCTTGCCCGCTGCCCAAGTTAATTCTAGGTTCATTTTGTCGACAAGTTTCAGATGTTTGCTCACAGCAGTTCTAATTGGCGAAAGTTTGAAACCTCAGGTTCCGTCCTAGGCACTGGAAGATCCTTCTCATTTTCCCCTCCGAAAGGTCACTCCTTGTGTGCTGTCCCAAGCCTGTCCCTCCCTCTCTAGAGAAGGGTGAGCTATGTCACTGTGTATTAGATTTAGAGCAGTTAAGAAACAGGAAAAAAACTTAATGGTTTGCCAATGGTCATCAGATATCACAGAAGTAGTTTAACTTCTGTCTATACTCACTGAAGAAAAAGATAAGCTTTAGTAAGGCTCTGTTGCTTTGAGAGGATGCTTTACCTTGTTTCCAAGACATACGAAGTTTGTAATAAATGTGTTTTGCCAACTGAGTTACAAAATACATAGATTCATGTGGCTCTTGTCTTCTGTAATCTTTAAGATGGTATGCATATATTCTAAGCTGTGTATCAAAACACTTGTACAAAGATATTATGGCTGGTTTTGTTTAAAAGCTGTTCTTCGATTTTCTTGATAAGCATATAGGTCTCTTAGATGAAATAGATGAATTTGTTCCTGCTTCTAAGTAAGAGAGCACTCTGCAAGCCCTGCCCTGCCCCGTCAGCATGAAACAGTGTACACGACAAGTGTACTGTATAATTGGCAGGACTCTCGCGCGTCCTGTCTGTTTGCAAAACAGCATCACTCTTGCTATTAGGCAATTTGTCATCCGTATCAAGGCGTTTAATCAGTATTAGAGAGGGACAATTCAACGTCTGTCGTCCAAAACTACATCTCACAGCATTTCACTTTCCTCATCAGTTCCCATACAGATAATATATGTATCCTAATTAACCGCTAAGACTCGACCAGATCCCAGTATGATCTGGCATGTGTGTACATGTATTCTCCATTACATCGTACAAAACCATTCTGGGATATATTTAGCTGTGGCTTAGGAACAAGAATTTAGCTTCTCTCTGATTTCACATGACCAAATTTTCATTTTTCTTCAACTGCAAGTATACCTCGGGGCTTCCAGATGCTTTCCTGCCTCTGAAGGCCTTCGTGCTTCCTTCTGTATAATATAATAGCTTCATCACATGTAGCTACGTGACACCAAATCTTCGTTGCTCACAGGTAACCTGTTGAAATGAACAGGACTGTTTACATGAGCAGCGACTGGTTTTCTTGTCTGCAAAGATGCAGAAATGAACTGGACGGTTCTGGGGTTCACGTTGCAAACAATCAGTCTTAGGTGGTTTGTAACTGATGCCGAGGCATTGGCTTCTCTTTGTGCCAGATGGAGCCTATTCCTTTTGTTTACCCAGCCTCTTATCTGCACAAGGCACCTTGCTGTCTAACAACTACACAGTTAAGTTATTTTAGGGAATGTGCTGGGGTTTTTAAGTTCCGTAGTAGCAGATGTAATCTGATTATGCATTTGGACAGGAGAGATTTCAATATAAAGGAGAGGGGATCATGAGATAAAGGGAGCTTAAACGAGAGGAAGAGATAGTATTAAATAATTTAGCTTGAAAAGAACAAAGATATTCAGAATGAACAAGATAAAGAGAGGTGTTAATTATAAATAGGAAAGTTGAGGAGAAAAAGTGGAAATATATGGGAGACAGTTTACAACACATTTATATTTCTCACAAGCACTCTGTGGCATGATCTCAGACTTTCTCAGCAGCTTGGAGAGATTGCTATACCGATCCCATTAGCTGGTTTTCCTTATGGAAATGGAATTCACAGCTCTTACTCTGTCCTGGCCTGGGTGCTTATACTATTTCAGGCATCTGCAATGGATCCTTTGGTTGTTGCTACTGGATATTATTAAATGCGCTCACAGGCTGCAGGACTTACTACTATTAGCGCAATGCAGTAGTAAGAATTATGTACAAGTTCACTTTAGAATAGTGCTTAAGGAGACTTAAACACATGTATAGGTATGCTTTTCTAAATAGAAGCTATAAGATGATATAAGGGTTTGTGGGTCTTCGGTTTTATGTCTATAATGGTATGATTTTTTTCCCCCAGAGACTTTAAAAGCATAATGCTTTTTTTTTTTTTGACTTGTAATAAGGGGTCCTCTTATAAATTTAGTATCCAGCAAGCAAGCAATTTTTCTTTTATTTAAAGAGCCCAGTGTGAAATTTTCATGCATTAATCTTAAGCATTTGGAAGAAAATTTAAAAGGCAACAAATGGGGCTTTGCTGATCCCCTTGCTGGAACCTACTTGCTGTTACACAGAAACAGAACCTGGCTGAGCATGGCTCCCCTCATGATATTCTCTTGCCTTCTACTCCTAGACCTCCAAGAGAGCACATAGATTAGAGAAATTTTCATGTTTTGCACTTTTTCACAGAAATATGGTTTCCTGGTAGACAGTGAGGCTATAATACGTTCAGAAGTTTGGATTAAAAAAGAAAAACAAAAAGCATTTGGCATAATAAAGCTGTGCTTGAAACAAATTATGGGCTTCTTTAACTGCAATTTAAAAACATAAGAAATAATTACTTTTTTTTAAAACCATGAAAAGCTGTATGTATTTAAAACTGAAAAATGAAAGCAAGAACTTGAAGTAGCTTCTCTGGATGATTTCACAGTGAACAACAACTGGATTTAACCTGTTAAATAAGACACTTCAGAGACAACATGGTGATACTTTTATGTCTTTTTCTCCTTACGCTTACATAAATAGCCTTCTAATATTACTATAATCATACCAAAACACCTAAAACATAAGCAGTTTCAGTATAATAACCTTTTCTGTATTTTTATAGGGAAGAAGCAGCAGATTTATTCCTGGGTGTGCGTGCACACGTGTGCAAATACAAATATTTTACAACAGTTTCAGAGTAATTAACCACTCCTAATGGGAAAGGCATGCAAATCACAGAAAGTAGAAGGAGTAGAACAATCATCCCAGCTGTGATAGCTGTCACAAAGGTCAAGTTTGGAAGGAGCAGCCATCAGGGAAGTCAGAAATACATGAGCACTTCTAGGCTTGAGAAAGAGGGAGTTGCTAGAAGGGTTTGTCTTAAGGTTGCTGAAAGCTGGCTTTTAGAAGCTTAAGCTTTATCTTCTAGAAGAAGGAATAGCAGGGCTTGTCTAAGAGGAAGGACAGCCCATGCTCCAACCTTTGTATTCACTTAGCTGGATGCAAGGTGGGGCCTGATTTCTCTTGTTTCTATCCTTTTTGATTTTAATGTTACCAAAGAGTTTAAAGTTTCAGAGGAACAGGGCAAATTCACTAGCTTACCTGAGGGACAATGCCAGAGAAGTTGTCTTTAGACTTTCTCAGATTTGTCAGTTTGACTTCATTATACTACAGCACCTGTTGCTTCATACCTCTCGGATCTTTGCACATCATTGCCGTGTTCTGTCTTCACCACAGGCCAGGACCCAGCTCTCCATCAGCCTAGAGAAAAGCCAAGTGCATTCCCTGGGCAGAGCTATGGTAAACTCTGACCACGGCCCGTTTGGTCATGTAGGAGACTACAGTCTCGGGATCAACATGATGTGCAATAGAAAGATGCAAGTGTAGACACATCCTTTGTGCTTAGCTTGGCACGTTGACTTCTGTTGACTATTTTGAACATCAAACCATGTTCATAACTTAGAGCCTGACCATTCAGTCCTCACCAGCCACCACAACTTCCCCCTGCATAATGGAAACCAAGCAGCTTGTTATACATACTAGGCTACAGATTTACAAAGGAAGGTTTTGCCTGCCCTTCCCTTACTAAACCAGACCTTTCCAAAAACACAGGGAAACAGGGAAGCCTACAGTCATATAACTTGATGAAGCCATCATTTACCTGCATTGAAGTAAATTCCACATTATTTGCAAATCAAGTTATTTGATCCCAGCCTGTATCTGGACTTTTGATTTCAAACAGACTAGGAAGTGCCCCCACAGGAACAGAAGTGCTTCCGTGTGCTGCATACGTCAGTCCCGAGAGGAATGTGCATGTTCCTACCTGACCGTGTGGCACTAGGCCCTATTGCAGTGCTGGAATTGGGATATTCTTGTTTTATTTCTTTTTTTTTGTTAAATTGCTCATACCAGGGCAGAATTCAGAGATCTTGATCAGACTGCAAGGCTACTTTGCACCAGGTATTGTGCAAGAATAAACCCAGGCACTTTCACACTGCAATCTTGTAAATGTAGTGCATATACACATAATGAACCCCACTTTAATGTTGTCTTCATTAGTATCAGCTGCAGTGATTAATACCATTGGTGATTCAGTACAAACGGGGACCACCAGGCCAAAGCTGTCAGGAGATTTCCACCGGCAGTACTCTCAGCTGAGTCAAAACTCCAACTCCTGCTTCACCTCCTGCAGACATCCTCACAAGCCTTCTCCTAGAGGGGCACAAGGACACGTTCATAGATGGCGTATGATATGTCTGATGTTGATCATGTTCACTTCTGCCTCACCCCTCAAAATTTCAGAGTTTAGTGGAAAACTTACCTCAAATGTGAAAGCAGACACCCCCAAAAAAGTGGAGTCAGGAAGGGAGATAAGCTATTGGGAAATGCACTAAATAATTAGGGGAAAAAAAGTAACCAGAGAGGAGGAGATCCTTTAAAAGCCATTTAATAACAAATCAGCTATTATGTATGTATCTGTCAATACAGAAAAAATGAGGATGCTGACAACTCTTCATCACACGACCTGCGGCATTAATAAGTGATGAAGCGTTACAAAAACTGGGATGCTTTGTGCCTAAAAAAACATGAGGACAAGGGAATAAAGCTGAACTAAAACAAAGGACATGATTGTGTATAGCTGGCAAACAATGACATAAATGAAAAACAAAAATACGGAAACAAATACAGCCCCTCCAACCATCAAATAAAAGGGATACATGGCTGCCTCTTTTTTTTGGCAGTAATCAGATACAAATCATGAAGTCAACAATGTCTGATGAAAGTTTTGGATGCAGTCATTATTCCAGAAGCGTCCACCCCAAACTTATTTGAACAAAGAGAGGGGAGATGGCATGGGAACAGAGGATTACAGTGACGCTGAGGTAAGAGTCTGAGGTACGTACATTCCCACGGTAAACAGCACCACGAAGGACGTAGCCTGAAGGGAAAGCCTTTTCTGTCCAAGCTACTGTCACGCCGCTCTCCTTCCACTATGAATTCGTTTCCCATACTACTGGCTTACTAACCAGGAGGTGAGACTTTTGCACCTCTGGCACATCCAATGCTCCAACACCCGCCACTTGTTTCTTTGGCACAGCCAACACAGTTTTAAACCCTCTCACTCCTCCCTTCTCTCATGCTCAGCATCTGCCCCACACCTTTACCAGGACATTGCTGAAGAGCTCTACCCCTGGGACACTCTGCCCTCTCCTTCCTATTCCCAAGGACAAGAAGAGTTATTCTTCTGTGAACTTGAAATATTCCTGCAACATAACCAGGTTTCACAAAGATTTCCAAACAGCATTGTCCGCCGCCTGCCTCCTATCCAGCTTTTACCACACAAGTCACCTTATGTCGATTTTGTGTTGTTCATTTCACAGGTCTCATCCAGTCGTCTCCCCCGTTTCATTCCATGTGAGCGGCTCTAATGCCAGAGCCTTGTGCTGTAGTAAATGAGGGAAGGAACTCATTTTTTTGTAGGTGCAAGTCAGTTAGAAAGTGCGGTAGGGAAGCTGGAAACAAGAGCAGAGATGGGGAGGGATCATCCAGTTAGTTTTTTGCAGCGGATCCTAAGGAGGCTGTATTAAGTAAGGCCTTATATTTCCTTTATAGGATGTGCGTTAAGCAGAGCGCTGCCCTGATCCCTGTAGGAAGCAGGAGAGTTAGGATGGTGCCTTTTCCCTGAGAGCGTTTCTAAGCTTTGCCTTTCCTCATAGGAAGCTTTCCTTGTGGTGCATTCTTAAGTAGATCAGATGTAAAGGAAAATCCCAATTCAGAATTAATTGGCATACATTTTTTTCAGGAGCTGGAGGGATTTTGAATTTCTTCCTTCTAGATGAACTTACAACACTCCTGCAATCCCACATTTGAAGTTGTACCTGTCTGTGGAAGCATGCAAGCACAAGGCCTGCAGCAAAATACATCTTTCCGATTTTACCTCTCCACCTTGTCACTCAGACGGATGCTTTCCAGCGTGGTGTCCGTGGCCCACCTTTACTCCAGCTTGTTCTTGCAGTCTTCACTTCCTTTAGTGGTGTTTTCGCTGAGGACACAGTAGCACAGAAAGCAAGCTGTGTTTGGAATTAACTGTTTTCAGCATCCCTGCACATGCAGAGTCAGCAACTGAAGCAGATGCTTTGGTGGTGTAATAAGACTCCTTGTTTAAGAGGGTTCAGAACAATACTTCACTGGGAAATGCTTAGTACCTTTAGCTCTAGGATCATCCACAACATGTGCTTGCCTTCCATTATTTTATGAAAGAAAGCAAAGGTGTTTCTACCGTGACAGACCATTGTCCCCTTGGGTCATGCTTCAGCTCTGAAAAAACAGCTTACTTCTAAACATAGCCAACCAAATGGCACATCCACTGCCTAAGTACCGCCACTCTTTCTCCAGACAGGTATTCACTTTTCATCTCCCATCCAGCAGCTATCTGTGCATATAGCAAGCTTCATCTGAGTCACACAGTAATAATCATTGCTTATATACAAGATCCCTTGTGTACTGTATATTAATGTCTGGCTGGTAATTTAATGGCACCTCTAGGCATAAACAAAAGTTTATTAAAACAGTAAGTAAAATGTTCCCGAAGACTGGCCTGCATTTATAATTTTCTATTCAGCATTCCGAAATACTGAGCCAGTCTTCTCATGCAAAAAGAAAGCTGCAGAGTTAGCACCAAGTAACGTCGTTTTGCACAAGTTAGCCATAGCACGGCCCAGAGCAATTGGATGCTTCGTTGATATTCACACACCCCTTCTTTTCTAATCATCTTCAACAATGACAGCCAAACAAAAATTTGGATTGATTATTAGGAAACGTGTACAACTCCAGGAAGCAGCAGGATATTGATTACTACTCTGATTACTTGTCAGTTCCTAGGTAGGAAGCCACATGGCAGCTAAAACCTTAAATTCCAGTCAGTAGTTGGCAGTGCCCTCTGTAGTTAAGACTGAGTGTGCTCTGAACATTGGGCACATAAAAGTGACACCATTCCTTCCCTGTGCTTATCTCTTCATTTGCATGAGATGCTTATGTTACAATTTATTTAGGGCTTTAAAAAACAGCAGGTTTCTTTTATCACAAGAGAATTCCTTGAGCTCAGTAAAATGTTTAAATACATGTGTCAGCTACTACATATGTTATTACACATTTACAATGGGCAAGTAGGTGGACACATTTTTTTTACAGTATTTAAGTAGAAACTTGGGCTGATTTTCCCATTTCAGGTTAAGTAATGGAGACATGAAAAATTTCAGTAGAAAATTTGTCCGTGGAGGAAATTCGCTGTGGAGAGGCTGACAACCAAGTAAGGAGCTCTGCTTTTAGCGAGTCTCATTTCAGATCCCAGCCACATTTCTAGACTGCAGTGATATTCCCCCTCCGCTCCTCCGCTGTAATTTAGCACAAGTTACGGACCCTGAAGCACTTTCCAGCTCCCAGGGCACATCACCACCTATCTCTATATCGAAACATGTCCCAGTGGTGCTTGACTGACCATCACACCGCTTGATTTCCACGGAAAGGAAAGGGGAGCATTCAGGCTGAAGAGGAGGTAGACAGACGTGCTCCAACGGGTCCCATCTATGTGATCAGAGGAACAGAACCCCGGGAACCTAGAGCAAATACAGCTCTTCACTCAGAGCCTCAATACATTTGTCATAACCTAGAATATTTGCCTACTTGCCACCATCAAGGGACTCAGGCAGCTGAGAATCTCTTGCAAACAGCACCAGCAAGAGTTAGCAAGGAGGAGAAAGACTACAGGTATCTCAGAAGAAAAGCTCCCAGAATAAATCCTTTAATGCTCTACAGAATAAAAACTTGGCTTGTAAAAGATAAAAGCATTCATGGCACATCAACTGCTTTTTTTGTGGCATTCTTCAGTGTTATACACAGTTCAGCTTTTTAAAATACGTTTTTCTTTTTAGGAGACAGTCTAATATAAACGGATTTGCTACTGCCCTGTTAGCCTTAACCTGCAGAGATTGTTGTCATTCTTTATTTACAGCAACATGATTTTATCTTAAAAAAGAAAAAAAAAAAAGGACTCTTGTGGTTTTTACTGTCTTGTTTAAGATCAGAAGTCAAAGCCTTGAGCATTTAGCAGTAAGCACAAGATCCTAAGTCTTGCACAAATATCTCAGGGGGTTTTTGGCCATCAGAAATCTGTAGCAGTGCTCATGTGAGAGAAAGCAAAAGGTAAGGGTCAG